TTTGGAAATATTTATGTACTTATACATTTGTGTGCCTCGGTCATGCATGTGTTTTAAAGGTTACATGTCGAGAGTTTATGTGATCTGATTTCCGAGGAACACGAGGGTGTTCCGACACTATGTGCCATCTGTGATTTTTGGCTCTAGTTCTGATATAGGATCCCGGTATGATATGATTTCTGATGAGATCTGATACTTCGACAGTGTTTGGCATTCTGTTTCTGATTTTTGTGTGTGAACGACATGTGTGTATATATATATATATATATACCTGCATGTGTTATACGAATATATGTGGATTTCGTAAACTGTGATTCATGTCTCCGTATTGTCTAGATTTTACTGTTATTCACTGAGTTATTATACTTATTCCTTTCCTCCCCCTTTCAGATTGCTATCTGATCGCAGCGGTAGCTTCAAGGTCAATTTCGTCCTCCGTTGCTTCACTGTGATGTACGGGCACTTTTGAATCATTTCTGTTATTTGTACTCCAGTAGCTCATTGTATTCCTCAGACACTTTTAACGTATATATATATATACACCTGCATTTCGATATTTTTACTACTGCAATGTTTTTTTGTTTCGACCTGGTTCTAGGCTGATTGGGTTGGTAAGCTGACCCTAGTGCTGGTTGCGCCCCCGGATTAGGGTGTGACACCTTTAGTGTTTGGTGAAAGATTCCTATTCTCAAAAAATATAAACCATAATCATCATAAATTTATTTTCTTTATCTTTCTTAATATTTTATCTCAAAATTACTAAATTAAAACTAGAAGGAAGTGATTATCCTTTTTTTTTATAACAAAAAAAGCTAATATAGCTTGATTTCAAATAAAATAAAATAAAATGGATGAATAATGCCCAATTATAGAGCTTATGTAAGGATGGGAAAATGTAGCATTGTTCCTTATTTAAAGTGTAGGGTTGTAAACCAGTCAAATTTGATTGAAACGAAGTATATCTGAGCCTAAATCTGATTAACAATTATCATATTTAAATTTGATATGAAATCCTATAAAATTTATATTTGTTAAACTATATTTAAATTTATTAGACAATCCGAAATCTGATAAGAAAATAATTATCATTTACATTTAAGGGACCGTTCGAATGGGGGGATAGATATAGGGTGATAAGAATATAACTGGATAAGTTTGCAAGGGGGATAAATTTTATCACATGTTTGGTTCAACAGATAGTAAATGAGATAAAATTTTTGAAATGTAGGATAAAAGTGAGAATTTTCCAAAATACCCTTTTATGAGTTAAAAAAAAAATCTGGATTTGAAAAAAAACAAACCCAGATCGGGTAAAAAAAAAAAAGAAACAATCCAGACGCAAAAAAAAAAAACGCAAAAGTTCTGATCGGATTCTTCATCGTCGGCCACGAGCGGAGCCCATCATCCTCGTCGCCGTTGCCCGGAGCGAAGCCTGTTGTCCTTGTCCCTGTCAGCCACGAGCGAAGCTCGGCGTCCTCTTGTGTGTCGTTGTGGTCGTGGTTGTGGTCAGGCCAGAACTGCAGTGGAACAACATCGCCAGAACTGCTTCGGCTCTGCTCTGCTGTGCAAGGGTGTTTTCGTCCTTCCACTGAAGTTTATTAGGGGGGATAAGTTTTATCTCCTCTTCAGCCGTGGATACAATATTAGTCTTGTCTGGATACATATCCTTATCACGTTCAGTTTACAGGGCAATCGAACGCATAATAAAGCTGATAAAAATTATCTTATCAGCCCTTATCAGGCCAACCGAAATAGAGCCTAAGTTATTAATTATATTTTATCAATCATATTAGTAATTAAATTTTTTAATTTTCTTAATTTATTTCCTACAATTTTGAATTTATTAATATCCTATATATAAGAATGTTCATTTAATTAAAAATATTATTAAATTTTAATTTTAGATTTTTAATAGATCATATTATTTAATTTCATGTCCGATCTATTTAATACAGATTACAGATATTTAAATTGGATCTGATCTATCGAATATTTTAATTAGATTCAAATATTAAAATTCAGATTAGATTTAGATTGAATTCAATTTTAAATTTTACCAATTGACAGTTCGACACCATGCCAAGTTTCTTCTTCTTTTTCTTTATTCAATAAATCTTAGTCGAACTTCCTAACGTCGGAAAAACTTTCTTAATAATTGGAACCAACGTGGCGGGCTCTTGTAATAATGGGAATTAATTTAGGTAATTCTGTAGATAAAAAAAAAAAGAATAGAGAAACTATCATACCTCATATTCTTGTTAAATTCATGTGGTACATGTGTTGTACCTCGGATTAATATTTGTACCAAATGAGTGCACCGCTGCAAATTTAATACCAATGAGACCCAACGTTGAAGTCAAGCAACCAATTAAATAAAGAAAATAATTAAATATAATAATATGCCATCCAGTTTAATATTTTTTTAAACTAAGTTTATTTTTAGATCAACTTTGATACGGAGAATAATCTTTTTTTTTTTTCAGATTTAAAACGTGAAAAATTGGATGCAAGCCCAAAAATCTTCGAGAATTGCGTTTGGACACGGCAGTCCATTGTGCGTCCGCCTGTGAAAACATCGGGTTTTGTGGGCGTTGATTTGACGGGATGAAGTTGGATGGTTCCCAAGATCCCACCACTAAATTGGACAAACGACGTACACTAATGTCAAGCACGGCATTTCTACGTTAAGAAATGTTTTTAAAAAATATTACTTATTTTGCAAGAGATAAGTTTGAATTAAGAATTAGATAGTAGAGAATTTATTTTAATTTTTTAAATATTTATAAATATATATATGATATATATATTTACTGAGTGAAATAGTTAAGTGTTCTAAATTATAAATATAATTTTTATGAATATAAATTAATTAGCAAATAAACGAAATTTAAATTTCTGATGATATGAAAAAATTATCAGACTCCATTATATGCGAAAATAAAAAATCATCTCTTATGTTTGGTCAAATTCTTCTATTCTCAAAAAAAGATAAGAAATAATTATGAGAATTTTATTTTTCCTTATTTTTCTCATTATTTATGTCAAAATTACTGAATTTAAATGAGAATTAAGTGATTATCCTTTCATGAAAAAAGCTAATTGCCTTGAATCCCAAAAAAAATTAAGATAAATGGATAACTTCAAAGTCGAGCTTGCAAGAGGATGGGAAAAACGTGGCTTCGTGTCAAACTTGAAGTTTGAAACCATGCGCGCGTGATCTTCTCTTTTTTCATTCCATAAATCTCAGTCCAACTTTAGACACCTGAACGTGGGAAAAACTTTGTTAACCAAAGTGGTGTGGCTCCTCTCGCGATGGGAATTAATTTAAGTAGCACTTTTGACGACAAGTGAACGGAGAAAGTATCCGTACCTTATAATTCACGCGGTACATGTGCTACAATTGTTTAGTAATTTTTTTTTACACTTTAAAATGGATAAATTCTAAAATATTATTTTTTAGTAATTTTGAAATACAGAAAATGATAATACAAAATTTTAAATTTATTTATTTTACAATTATCTTGATTAATTGGGATGAGGTGGACACACGAAGAACGACCAATCTAGTGGCTAGTTTTTGCCTTTTTATGGGATTTTTGCATCAAATATTTATATTATGACCTATATTTAAAAAGTGAGATGTATATTTTTTGTTATTTATTCAGAAATTTAAGAACGATTATTATCTAGCTAGAATTTTATGATTTATTTATTTATTAAGTAACTTGATAAAAAAAAAAAGAATGAGAAAAAATCAATTGGCCAATTGCGAAGGAAGGCTTTTAGTATCAACACTAAAATTTTACCTGGATTACCACTATTTTAATTGAAAGTAAACTGAGTATATGTTATTAAGTAATTATAGTTATTTTATTGTTTTTATTAAAAATTTTGTGTCATAGGCCTTTTTTTTAATGAAAATCAAGCACTAGGTTTTTTTTTTTAATAATAGAAGAAGTAAATTCCTTCCTCACCCCCCATTTTTTTATTTTGAGAGGACAAAAAAATAACTCTCATCCTTTAAGCGAGACAGAGACTTGAATTTCGAACAGGGCTTATTTGTCATTTTAAAATATGTGCTCTACGTGTGTTTTAATTTTAAAACTATTTTTATAAAAATATATTCAACACTCCATATTTTTTAGAAAGCTACAAAATTACATTATATTATTGACATATTATATTCATTTTTTTTCGCACATTATTACTTATTTATATTAAAAATATCTAATTATTGAATAAAATTTATGTAATTTTTTTGAAAAGTGTCCTTAACTGTATTTTTAAGAAATTTTGCCAAAAGGGTTAGGTGGGCTCGGACCTGGCCTGCCTCCACATAAAACACGACTTAGCCCGACTCGGACCGTCAACGTCTTCGCCTCTTTCCCCCACTGGCGCAGTTGAAGCAGGTGTGGACCTTGTGGCGCAGCTGGAGCGACTACCGTCCACATTTGGCGGCAGCCAGAATGGAGACAGAGAGGAGAGAGAGGGGGAGAGAGAGGGGAAGAAGCGTGGGCAGCCTCTAGTTTGAACCATATAAAAGCTGCCCGTAAGGTCCCTCTTTGTCTTTGCCTTCTCTATCCATCTTAAACCCCCTCCAATTGCCTAGTGGGCTGAGAGGTAGAGCACTTCTCTATCCTTAAAACGGGTCTTGTGGCTTGGATTTCTCTCTGCATTTCTTCTCCACAATGGCTTCTCCACTAGCAGATTCAAGCTTCCTCTTCATGGTACCACCTCTCTTTCCAATACTCATTGTTGTAGTATGTTTTAGGATGCCATATTTTGTCTAATTTCAATTTCCACTCTCCTTGTTTTCAATCCTAGGGCTCCCACCAGAGAACTATTCAAGGCAATAAGTTTTCCCCGCTTAAATCTTCAGGTTTGCTTCTCTTCCTCTCCTTCCCTTTTTTTTCACTTGAAATTTTGGTTTTACAGTTCTTTTCTCTGTTTTGTTCAATTGGATATTTTGGGTTTTCTTTACATTGAACATTTATTATGATATGAGGTGGGTACTTCTTATTCATTTGTTTACAATGAAATGCGACTCTGGGAAACGATTGGATTTTATCTAAGATAAATCTGGCCCTTGGACTAGAAGTTGACTATCCTTGTGAAGATTCGGTTTACTTCTTTTGAATCCTCCTGTATATGACATTTCTGCCACACTTAAATTATGGTGTCACACACAATAAGATATTATCTGCACCTAGTGCTATTTAGACAAAATTTGAGCTTAAACCTTGCCTTTTCATGGATTACTGCCTTTTTCAATGATATGTGATGCTTAGCTGTGGTCTTATGATTATCGTGTTCTGCAAGTGCTCTGTTTGGAACTTCAATATTTGGAAATTCAAATAGAAGTCATAAACACAACCCTGCATATATCTCTTAAAATTTTTGTAGTATTGCTAGTAAAACTTCTCTAATATTCTGCTATTCAGCATACAGCGAATTGCCTACTTATAATGAATCTTGTTATTGACAGGAATATATTGTTTCAAGTTAAAAAATCTACCATCAACAGGGATCAAAACACAAAGATGTTTCATTCCATTAAGGAGAAAAACAACTGTACAAGCTGTGGCAGTTCCTGTTGTATCTTCCCCACCTGATAGCTCCCCATCTCCATTAGAGAGTGCAGAATACAGAAAACAGTTGTGCGAGAGCTATGGTTTTAAGCAAATTGGAGAACCACTTCCTGACAATGTTACATTGAAGGATATAGTTAACACCCTTCCCAGCAAGGTACTGGCTGTCATGCCATGCTTGCTAATTATGTTTTGGTTCTGTTTTTCTTACAAGCATGGTTTATTATTCTTTATATGGGTGGAAGTAGTGGAACTATCTTCTACAAGGACTTCAGGTCTCTTAATTTTGAAACTTGCTTATACTCTCAAGGCTGGTGATCCACAGTTGTTCACATAAGTAGAACTTAGGTGCTTCATTCAATGATTAATAAATTGAGCACGAGTTTAATATGAATTAATGAGACTTGAGAACGAAAATGGAACTAATGGTATTGGCAAGGGATGCATGTTGGTTTTGCTTATTACTGGGAATATTATTAGTTTATGTGCATGATTAAGAATCCTCAAACTGTTTTAGATTCACACCTCAGGTCAAACATTGCAGGTACTTTTTCTCTTTGGTTGAAGTTGGGGATCAGGTTATACACTAAAAAGAAACCTAAATGTTTGTGCTTACATCAAACTTATAATGATATCAGGCCTACGAAAAGGATCTATATTGTTAAAAGATAATTTTTACTGACTAATGCTTATTTTGGTTCTTCCTTGCAACAACTTCTCAATTGAAGTACGATAGTTGTGGTTACCCTTTATTTTGTTGGTGAGATTTCACTCAGGTTTTTGGCATCAGATAAAGAAGTTAAAACTCCAAACCATTATATGGTTGGGTCAATAAGGACCAATTGTAGATATCCAAATGTGACAAAACTATCCCCTCCAAATGTTAGTTATGCTGGAGAGGGATTCAAAATATAGTGACAACTGGGAAAACATCTTCAATTTCTTTAAATAAAGTAGAATTATGCTAATGCTATCTTCCCACAATTCTTTTCTTGGAAACAAAACTCATTCTACCTGTTACTTTAATGTTCAATGCTGTAATCCTGTGCACTACTGTAGCAATAAGTGAGAAACTTTACAATGTTCAGAGACTCAAGATAATCTAATTCGTTATTAGGAAACAAAATTATAGTTGCATGTTGTTGATTACTTAAGCATGCTTTTAATTGTTCATTTTTTGTTTGCCTCATTCAGTTCATATCATTTTTATAGAGAGGCTTTACAGAATACCCGAAATGATTCACAATACTGTCTTATCTATATTCTTGCTGGAAAGGCAGTTCTTAGCATTTGCTCTTTTTGGTTCTCTAAAACCCTTTTCCCTGTCATAATCTTGTTCAAGGTATTCGAGATTGATGATGTGAAAGCATGGAAGTCTGTTTTGATATCTGTCACTTCATATGCCTTGGGAATGTTCGTGATCTCTAAAGCTCCATGGTTTTTACTCCCTTTGGCATGGGCATGGACTGGGACTGCAATAACTGGGGTTAGTTATGTGTAAATTTTACTTCATGTCACATTGTTTACATGGCTTATATATGCTTCTGTACAGCCGGGCAACTCTTTTTATGTTGTTCTTTTTTTCTTCTCCCTCCATTGTTAAGTTCTTTGTTATAGGCCATGATTGTGCGCATAAATCATTCTCAAAGAACAAATTGGTGGAAGACATTGTTGGGACTCTGGTCTTTTTGCCACTGATATACCCCTATGAGCCATGGCGTTTTAAGCACGATCAACATCATGCAAAAACAAATATGTAAGGATGATATTCGTTTTCTGATCACATATGTCTATGAAAACAAATCCTCGTTAGTTTATAAAAGGAATATGTTACAAGCATGTTGATGTTAAATCCTCATGTTATTAATTCTTATCTCAGCCTGTTTAAGTGGTCTCGTGGTGATATTAGGTGAGGAGAAATCGATATGGTTGGAATGCTTACCACATCTAATCTGTTTAATCCTCCTTTTCTTTTCTTGGTCCAATTGTGATGGGCATACAGGTGTAATCCTTTTGTTCCTTGCCATAACTCCTTCAATCTGGAAAAAAACCTGGGATTAAGCTAGCTGGCACCTTCCTTTGTTTTTAAATTAGGGGATGTGGTAAGAGAACAGCACCCGATAAAGACATTGGATAACTGAGGAGAATATTGTATCTCTACTTTTGGGAACCCAAGGGAACAGCTTTTTAAGAAAATAAATAGAATCTTTTATTTAAAATTATATATGTTCGTATATAAACTGTATAATTCTATTATTCTTGTTGCCAAATACTATGCAACTGGCCTTTGTCCTTATCTGATGGAATGGGTGTGGATGCAGAAAAACACAAACGCTGATGGAATTTTTCCTACCATTTTCTCCATTCTTATCCCCCCACTTTTGAACAAATATAGGGTTGACAATGTTCAGCCAATGAATTTAGTCAGTAGTGAAAACTGGGTGTCTGATTTTGTGATTGTAAAGACGGGGTGACAATTTCAGCATGCACTTTCTCTTGGTTTTCTCTTCAAGGTTTGAAGCTTCTTTAGTTTCCAATAGCTAATTCAGCTTGCCCTCCAGTTCACTTTCCCTGTGTGACACCTAGTAGGGATGGTATTATGCCTTTAATCCTATGGCATAAAACACAGCTTATACTTAAACTTAAGAGAATTTAATGGTTTCTCAATTGCTACACTTGTTGTAATGTATCTCAGTGGACTAGAACCTGTGGATTCCATGCTTTATCAACAAAAGAAAAATAAGAACAAAAATATTAGTGACTTTTGGAGCCATTCATGTTCTGAAATTGTAGTTTATTTTTTATTCTCCTTTTTTCTTGGTTGTGACCTTTTACATTTTCTCTCCCATCATTTTGGAGTAGTGGGTAATCAAAAATTTAGCTATGTTAAATACTGCTACATAACTCTTAAGATCCTTGGTAAATGTATGTAAACTTCCAGCAACTCAAGAGCATTATGCTGAAGCTATCTAGTACAATGTGATTTCTCCATGGGATTATAGTTTACCATTTTATTGGCACCAATTAATTCTGTGTCTTTATCAGCTGTGCAATGGGCAATGGTGCACTAAGTTGCAGAATAATTACCAGAACTCATTGGAGAAAGTTGTTGAACTTTGTAATGAAACTGTACTGCCCAACTTTAGTCAATGCTAGGTTGCTGCAGAAACTCAAGGACACAACAAAAAAAATGAAAAAAGGACCTAGTTTAGGCTATTATATTATCTGGATTTTCTTTGTATTTATTTATATTTATTTTTTCTTTTCTCTCCCCCCCCCCCCCCCCCCCTCTTTTAGGGGGTGGAGGTTGCAGGAGGAAGGGAGATTTGTTAGTTGAAATAACTTTTTCTCTTTTCCCTCATTCATCTTGACCTCTATATCCAATAGCTTATAATTGATCACTCTTATTGATACAGGTTGGAAAAGGATACAGCTTGGCACCCTGTCTGGCAAGAGGAGATCAATTCATCTCCAATTTTACGTAAGGCATTGATATATGGCTATGGGCCTTTGCGACCTTGGATGTCTATAGCACACTGGTAAAGTCATGGATAAAGCATCTTATTTTTTAAGAATTCCACCTGCTTTTTCTTTTTCATTTTCTTCTTCCTGCTTTTCAATGAGCTAAGATATAGGCTTTTTTAAGCTGTCCAGCTGTTTTGCTTTGATCTTCCTTGTCCATTTGACATTATTAAGCATGTCAATAGGTTGATGTGGCACTTCGATACAAAGAAATTCAGGCCAAATGAAGTTAATAGGGTGAAGATAAGCTTGGCTTGTGTTTTTGCATTTGTTGCAATGGGGTGGCCACTGATTATCTACAAGACAGGGATCATGGGATGGATCAAGTTCTGGTTGATGCCATGGTTTGGTTATCACTTTTGGGTAAATATTGTTTGTCCTTTACTAATTCATTGGTATGTCTGATATGCATTTATGAAAAATGAGTATTCAACTTTTTCTTTTCTATAATTGAGTGTTGATACATATATGGGAAAGGTTTCTGAAAATATGATAGTATGTCTTACAGGATGCAAAATTTTGTAAGTTTTGATTTATTTAATATTTTCGTTCCCTTTATCTTGTAGATGAGCACTTTCACGATGGTTCATCACACAGCACCTCATATACCCTTTAAATCTTCAAATGAGTGGAATGCGGCTCAGGCTCAGCTCAATGGGACTGTTCACTGTGACTATCCTCATTGGTAATTTATAGCCTCTGCTATAATTAGCTCTTTCACCTTTAGTTATGAATGCATTTAGAGGTTTGGAGTAATGGATAGGAATGGCCTTATTGAATAAAGATGATTGCTCTAAAGACCTATCGGTGGTTGTTTCTTGTAAGGCAGTATGTTGTCCTACCTTAAGGATGATCAAGTTGGAATTCTTGCTGCACACATTTTTGTTCTGTAATTTAACTTTTGCAAGTAATTTAGGATTTGAGTTATTGATGTTTTATTGCTTTACTTTCTGATGACCACTTAATGATGATGTTATTAATTAATGAAGGGTGTTAGTCTGTCAGGCCTAATAAGAAATGTTAAATTTTGGGCAGGTAAGGAGTTTTGAAATTCTATAAATTCTTTCTTTCCTCCGCAGGATAGAGACCCTTTGCCATGATATAAATGTCCACATCCCTCATCATATTTCTCCAAGGATACCAAGCTATAATTTGCGGGCAGCTCATGAGTCACTTCATGAGAACTGGGGAAAGGTATAGTCAATTGGTTTCTTCTCATGCTCTAGCACAATACATAATTTTTTGAGCTTGTTACTTTTCTTAGTATATGAGAGCCAAAACCATCCCTTGAAACTATCAATATATACACCTAAAAAATGAGCTCATATCCACACATGATTTACAGGAAAAATCAGGAATTATGTACAAAAGAAAATCACGATTAATTAATGTCATCCCAAAATTTACACAAGTATACATGCAATTTTTATCTCTCTCCCCCACTTTTTGCCTTTTTAAAAAAAAAAAAAATTCATCTGGTTCTCATGTTCCCTGCAGTATCTAAACGAGGCTACTTGGAACTGGCGTCTCATGAAGACCATAATGACAGTATGCCATGTTTATGATAAGGAGCAAAACTACATTGCCTTTGACGAAGTTGCCCCTGAAGACTCTCACCCCATTAAGGTTCTTAAAAGAGTAATGCCTGACTATGCTTGATTCATTCATTCCCTTGCTGGATTTTCCCGTCATTTCTTATCTGTTATTCTCCTGTAAGGCTGGTTGATTCATTTTCATGCCTCCCCAAATTCTAGCATGTGCTCATTCTAGGTTCAGTAATTTTTCATTACGTATGAGTAGAAGAAAAGCAATGCAGTAAGCTCTGAGGAAGTCAGTAATTTTGCCGTGTAGCAATCTCTGAGAGAGACTTACTTATCAGAGAGAGAGATTTACTGGGGGATGTAGCATTTCAATACTGTTTCTTGCAGAGATTGATCTGGTGGCAGAACTCTCAGCTTAAGAATCCATGTCATGTGTACAAATGTGAGACATTGATTTGTCCTCTCGGAGTATCTTGTCAATAATTAATTCATGTTACTGAAATTTAGTTGCTATTGTTAACATTTATTGACTGCAACTTAGCCAACTAACATTAGTATAATCTATTGTCAACTTTAATGATCCGATTGTTTAAAAAAATAAAGTTATTCAATAACTTGTTTTCTACAGGCCAGTTGAAAACCGCAGGTGCGGAGAGCGTGAGACCCAAAGAGTTTTATATTTTTCTGTGGGCCTAACTTCATTGGGATTTGTTCCTTCTCTAGATATTTGAACTTAATCTAATCTATTGTCGCTTGATTAAAATTTCAAAGTTGCGGAAATGGAGGGAGTCCTGTTTGTTTACTTCTATAAAATTTAAGACAAGCAGAGGGACCCTTGAACAAAGGGGAATTTATTGTTTGGATTTGTTTCCGGAATTCTCTGATTTCAAACATAAAAAACCCGTTTGGCAAGTTGTTACAAGAACAGTTTTTCAAGAGATTTTTCATAGATGAACCTTCTGTAGAAACAAGTTGCTTTCATAATTCTCAGAAACTATTTAAACTCACATGAAAAAATGCTATGAAATCAATGGAGTTTTCAAAATTTCTAATGTTCTCTGTTTTTCGAAACACAAAATAAAAACTGAATACAGGAAAAAAAAATGCATAATGCAAATCCAAATGGGTTTGCCCATATTAGACTGAAATGGACTCAATATCTTATGGATATCTTGGAGGATTCAGATATTTCCTTTAATTAAATTTTTGACTTTGAAAATTCAATGGAATAATATGAAAAAAATTAACTATTTCTAGAAATATAGATGGTCCAGATGTGTTGAAATGTCACAGAGTTACCGGGAAAAAAATATTTTGAACTAATCCAACAAAGGTTCCCCTATGCCAATTGCCTATTCTAGTTTTACCGGGTGGAGCAGGCATGAGGGCAGGAGTCATGATTTGTTGGATGTGTTTGATCACGAGCAGATTTCTTGCCATGAGAAAAGCTTATCAGTTTAAAGATTAAAAGTACGTGATCTCACAATATATGCATATCCGAAATTGACATACTAAAACTGAAAAAGTAAAAGCAAAATCTAACTGCTTTCTCTTTGTGAGTTTATCCAAAGCCTGTCCACCAGCTAAGCAGTTTTAACTGCTCACATGGGAAGAATCTCAACACCCCCCCCCCCCCCCCCAAAAAAAAAAAAAACAAAAAAACAAAACACACACACACACACACACCAAAGAACACGGGGAATCAGGAATCTTACTGAAACCATTGTGTCTAGAGACAGGAACCCACTTTGAGAAAGCTAAGAGTCAAAGGAAGATCAAGGTCCAAAGGAGAGTAAGAGAGAATTGTGCCTCCCAAAGCAAAGGAGAAAAGAAATATAGGACAATAAATGCATATCACAGAGGGTTTTATGGGCAAAAAGCTATACACCAACCAAACCCTACAGAACTCTGTTTATGGAATGGAGAGGCCATATGGCAGGTTTGGTTTTTCTGTTATATAAAACACAAAAATGGAAAATTGAGGACTGAGATCAGAAAGCAGAATGCAAATCCAAGCAACCCTAACATCAAAACTCCAGTAGCTAAACAATCAGTCCATCACTTCGTCAATATGAGAGAATGCTACACACAATCAAACCTTGCAGTAACACTCTTTTAGTAGCTCCTAACCTACACTATCGAGTTTTCAACTTCTATATATTCTTGTCTTACAAACTCATGAATCAAAACCCAAACCCATTTAGATCAAAAACGAAAAACACCCATCCCAACTGCAGAAAAACAAGTCTACCAGTCAGATTATAGCCGCTGTAGGAGTCTCCCACACATCAAACACATTCTCCTCACTATGAAGAGCAAATAACCTATCACCACCAATCGAAAAGTCACAAATCGAGCCGCCATAGCTCCGACGTAGCCTTGACGTCAGCACCCAATCTGGCCCAGAAAACACCGAAATACTGTCGTTCATAGACGAAAATAGCTTTCCTTCGTGCCATGTCAGCTTTGGATAACACGGCTCCTCCGGCAGCTTCCCCTTCATGACCAGCCTACTTCTTGAGCACCACCTCACAGTCCCTGCACTACTCCTTAAATCCATAAACCCTAAATCTTCATACTCATTCACCACACAAATTGACATCCCCTCCTCTGCCGCCACAGCATCCCGTACCCGCCTGTCGTCCGATGCCGGAGCTCCAGTGTCCGACCAAAACCATACCATGTTGTTCTTATCCCTGAAATCTAAAACACTGATGTAACAGTCATCCTTTCTGGGAAATAGAGTTGCAACCATCAAACAATTGGTGGCATTTAGCCACTGAACCCTATCTGCCTCACCCAATGACCACCCAATTGGCTCATAATAGAAGTCAATTTGTTTTCCGGTGATTAGATCCCACACTCCAATTCCATATTCGTTACTCCTTCCCTTACAGCTGGAAAAAATTTTGTAATCTGAGCTGAAACTCAAAGCCCCTGCAGTGTAGGTCTTGAATTGATCTTCATGGGCAACTTGGAACCGGTGTCGGAGGATGCCGCTGCCAGCGGAGAACAGGGCTAGGCCGCCGGCGCTGGCTCCCGAGCGATTCAGGCGCTCGCAGGCGGCGACGGCGAGGGTTCCCGGGTCGGCCCACCCGACGTCGTTGATTCGCTGGTAATCGAAGTTGATCGTGGGGTGTTCTTCGAAATTCCAATCGTACACGTGGACAACGCTGCCGTGCGCGACGGCGCAGCCGCCGTCGGGAGCCCCGCGGATGGCGGTGCCGTCGCCGGGGGCCTGGCCGGCGACGGAGCGGGAGAATCTTAGCCTGTCGCCGTCGAATTGGCCGCGTGTGGCGGTGCGAACGTGGTCGAGGAGGCCGTAGAAAGCGGCTTCTCGGAAAAGGAGCTTCTCTGAGAGGGTGGGGGGAACGTGGAGATAGCCGGTGCGGAGGAGGTCGAGGAGAACGGCGAAGCAATCAGGGTTGCGGTCGATGAAGTGCTCCTCCTTGCAGGAATCGGAGAGATTCCAATCGCCGTCGAAAATGGCGCCGAAGTAGGAGTTCCGGCCGGCGTGGGCGAGAGTGGTCGCCGTGGTCTCGAAGATCTTGCCTCCGACATTAAATTTCACTCTGTCTTTCTGAATTCCCATGGTTCAGTTCCCGTGAAGTCTGGACAGACCCAGATGGGAATTTGAATTGGGGAGGGAGGACAATTAGGAAAATTGAATTCAAAACGCGGAAAGGACCTGAAATTATGGAGGAAATGGAAGTTCTGATGGGAAGGAGGTGATTCCTTTCCCAGATAGCGTGTTATAGTGGGAAACTCAACTGGCTTTCAAAACAACAGAACCTCAAAGTATTGAAAATTCGAAAGGAACAAGGCTTAGATAAGGGAAAGTTAGCAAGAAGGAATCAATTAACATTCAGAGATATAGGGAAAAAGGAATTAAACCTATTTTAGTTCAAACAGAAGCAGATTTTTATCGCAGATATCCGAAAATAGCATTGAAACAGGGAATATTGGTGAGTTACATAGAAGTTTGGTGACTGACAGAGAGAACTGGGATCTGGGTATTGTAGGAGGAAAGGTCGGAGATGTGGGTTTTTATTTTTTGTTGGATTTGTTGTGGGGGAATTGCAGAATTTGGAGCGGTTGAATTTTTCAAAAAGAAGAACTTATTTGGTTCGTTGATCTCCCTCGCCTTCTCTCTCTGTCTCTCTCTCTCTTGCTTTTGAGTCTCTCTCTCTCTTCCACCCTTCCACCTAAGCCGTTTCCTCCTTTTGATCTTTCCCATGGTCGGGACATAGCTAAGCTTTAATAAATTAATACTCTTTCTGCAGGGGTCCACTCAAAATTTATCGTACTCCTCCGCAATGGACTCTTAGTCATCAAAGATCAAACCAAGCTGATCCAGAAGAGGATTAGATTTTAAGATGCATGACTCCGCTCAAATTTTGTTATCCAACAAAAAGAGAAATTACACTTCCTGATTTGTACGCAAGGAGGAAGATAAAGGCGTACAAGGAAGGAGAAGATAATGAAACTCCTACCACGGAAAACAGAGTCCACCCACCTGAATCAAAGGAAAACATCTTAAATCTGAAATTTTCTATTTTAAGTCTTGTATTTAAACCTTAGGTTCCAGAAAATACAAGCTGTCTAGTATTATTAATTAAGATTAAGCATTTATTTTAAATTAATTTAGAAAATAATTTAAACCAGTACGAAGTTTAGGTGCACAGTTGGAATTATCTTAATTTTAATAAATAATATACCTAAAAATAAAATTTGGTAGTGTTTATTTTATTTATATGATAAATTTAATTCAATGAAAAGGCAAATTATAATAAAATTGAGAATGACTAAACGTTTCCTCTATGAATTAAATAAATACTTATATCTTTAATTTAGCTTCAGTTTTGTTCATGGCTTACCAACCCAATTTAAAGGGTTTTGAGATTTTAAGTGAGCACCAAACTACGCTTATTCTTTATTATGAGCAATTTCCCTTGTTAGCTCTGCAACCATAACTGGCTAACAACTTTAACATTTCACTAAATAGGTGACCAACTCAACTTAAAATCTACATTACATGATTAAATCTAATATGATGAAAGCTCCTTTTGTACAAAATTGAAGTGATTTGTGTCACAAATTCTATTAAAAAATTGAGAAAAATTAAATTATAAGTAAAAGTGTTATACAATTTAATAAATTAATTTTTCAAGAATAGAATAATAATCCTTAACAAGTGATATTTGAACAGTTTTTGAGGGACCAGTCTAGTGGAGGGATTCACGCCAAACACCTTAGAGAGAACTAGACAGTTGACCACACGTGAATTAGAATATCGACACCATTGGGGATAATTCAGATTAAGAGAAAAAAATTCAAACAATTTGTATTTTTAAAATGAGACTAATACCTATGACAATTTGTATATCATTTTAGGACAAATTAACAATTAATTATTTTCACAAAGAAAAATATATAAATTTAAATTTAAATTCGGCTCCAACTGAAAATTTAAGACAAAATTTGAAAATAAATTGTCACATCTGAGTACACAACTCTTCAAATAGAGAAACCAACAACGGTATGCCACGCAATTCACAAAAACCAGAATGTCAATTAAATGCAATGGGTAAAACATCAATAGAGGCAATTACAAGTCAATAGGTTGCCCATTGTCACGGTCTCAGTATTTCCCATTACATTATCAGTACGTTAAATCTTCTATGAACTGACATATTGATATTATATTAATAGGTTAATTTTATACGATAAGGACTTGTTTGTTTTAAATATTATCTTTGACAGATAATGAATACTAAAGTTACTCGTGTATAATTTAAAATTGTGAGATTAATTAGTACAAATTGTAGATAGGATAATTGTCATGACCCGAACTCGGGTCCGTGACTGGTACTAGGGTCCACCGACCTTAATAAGTCTTAACAAAACATCCAAATTTCAAAAATATAAAACATACACTAAATGCAGTAATATAACATCTAAAAACCACCCGGAATCCTGTCTAAAAGTATAAGGAAGTTACTTTAGAATACAATAAAGATCAGATACAAAAGGGAAGTGCCCGTACATCCATCAAACCTGCTGTCGCCGACTCCCACACTAGCACGTTAATCAAGGCAAGTACAGTCAAACGAATTTGGAATGGTGATAATATATGAGTCGCGAAACTCAGTGAATACAGATGATACCTAATCTATGCATATTAGGATACACATCACACCACAAGTCCAAAACCATACACACATACAGTAATCAATAAAACATATCAAACATGCACTTAAGAATACCGTCAACCAAACATCAAAACACATCACGGGATCCAGGCTTACTCATCACTGGACGCTACGGATCACCGTACTCCAGCCGAGTTCCTACCATCCCCAAATCACATCACTGGACTCAGGCCGACCCACCACTGGACGCTATGGATCACCGTACTCCAGCTGAATTCCTGTCGTCCCCCAAATCACATCACATCACATCCGCGGCCCCCTGCCACCTCACATCACACATCACGTCCACGGCCCCTACCGCCTTACATCACACAACCATTCTCACATATAAGTCAAAAGCAATATACATACACATATACAGTTCACATCTCAAATTCGGTATCACATACTAACATAACTCACTGACAATTCACAAAATACATAACACATATCCCGAGTATAACATATATTCAAAATACAATTTCCAAACCACATAATCATCATATCAGAAAATCATAGTATGAAAACACAGGCATAGAGAGGGTATCATCACTCACAGTACAAAGGCTGAACAAAAAGAAACTCCCGATCGTGCTCACCTGACTCACTGATCTAGACGCACCTCCACCGGCGTATCTGTAACCAAAACCACACGAAACTGTCACTACCACCAAGACTAGCATAAGAAACTAGCTCGACAGCCCAAAACCAACTCAACTCCCATCCCGACACCATAACACGTATCCCAAGGCGCCGTTACCTGTTACCAAGACCCACGCGACTCACAACTCTCAACATTTTGACTCAACAACCCTTAACAATAAAGAAACCAGTCTCCAAAATCCTCAAACCATAGTGAACTGGCTTCCAAAAACCCCGAATTGACCTAAACCGGTCTAAAATTATCTTAAGCTCAACTAGATCAGCTACAAAACCCCCAAAATCAAATTTAGAAGGCCCAAAAACTTTAAGAACTAGTCTGAACTGGCCAAAAAGGCCTTAAACCAGCCTTGAGCCGGTCAAGAACCCTAACCTTAAGCACCACCTTGAACCGGTCACCCAAAAATTACCAAATTACACGGTTATCTAGGTTTCCATATGCTAAACCAGGAACTGGTCCAAACTCTCCAAGAATCGGTCTAAAAATCGGTGAATCAATCACCCGAAGGATGCCACACTAAATCGACTGATTCACCTCGAACCGACTACCCAAAATTTCCTGAATCTATTTGGTTTGATAGATCTTTTCTTCTTAAACCTAAAACCGGTCCAATTTCTCAAATCTGAGCCCAATTGACCACTGAACTGGGCAGTCAAACATTGAACCATTTCTAGCCAGTTTAGTTAACTCCAAAACCCTTATCCCCCAAATCCCGAATTATGCTATCCCAATAACCCTTGTCCCTGGTTGCCCTATCGCCCTTAGGACAACATATACTTGATTGGGCACTAGGTTGATTCATGGGTTAACCCAGTTAATTACTCAGTGGGCTGAGTCAACCCGCGAGTTGACTCAGCCCAACCAACTCGCGCGGGCTGGCCCGCAGGTTGTAGCCCAGCCCAGCTGGATCGGGCCTAAATAGGCCTAGCCCAGCCTGCACAGACCCAGTTCCATCCGGGTTCGTCGTCCCAACCCGGAACCTACTCCCAGGTTTGCAACACGACCCGGAAGCAAAAACAACAAATTAAACTGGGAAAACAAGCTCACCTCGGCCGATCGAGCAACCCCGTCCTCAGTACCGGTCCCAGCGACCCCCACAGCAACAGTTAATCGAAACAAAACAACTCAACAGCCTCCAAAAATCTAGATTTCTCCCTTCGGCTCCCACCCCGAACCGGACGACCTAGAAAAGCTTGAAATTCCTCACTCAATCTCACTCAAAACCGAAAAAAATTGAGGGGTTCGGTCGAGCCTTCAAATACGCATGCAAAGGCGTGAGGAGTTGGTTGAAATCATCACACGACGTGGAGGATTTGGTGAAAAACCATCATTCGCCCACTGTTCATGTCAGAATTTCTAATAATTGCAGGTTTGGTCCTGGACTTTGTGTCACTCACATAATGGTCCCTGAGATAATTTCATTTCGGCCCCCAAAACTTTTTAATTCTTGTAATAAGGTCCTCACCCTAAATTATTTCAGAAATCAAGTTATTGCAATAATAAATAACTAAATATATAAAAATATTTATATAAATTGCATTATGTTCAAAGAGAAAAGAATAAGAAGTAAGATAAAACGAGACCCATAAATCTATGACATTTAGATTATAATCCACCAATTATGGTAGAAGGAATTAATAATATTATCAAAAAAATTGATATATATTGATTATTACTTATTCATTTAATTCAAGCATTTCACAATAGCAAACTATATGTTGTTAATTTAGTAATTTAAAA